TGTGCTCTCATCTCTATTTAAAAAGGTTTTTATTCTAATTATGTGCTTAGCTGAAGATAAATTATTTTTATATACCTCCAGGTAACGTCGTTTGGCCCTCAGTGAATTCCGTCTGAAATTAAATTATCAAACCAGAGAAGTGGCGATGAATCAGTGTATTAACGTGCGTGAATCCAGTGTGTCTCGTCTTGTTGGGCATTGGTCCTCCAGCCCGTGGACAGACGAGCCCCCCAAGCATGTGTCATCTCCTCTGAGTCTCCGAGAGACCCCCCCACGTGATCTCCTAAGTGTGGACTTTTGTCTTTATACGGTTCTTTTGTGAAAAATGCTTCACAATAACAGAGTTGAGGGGAAGGGAGCAGCCAACAGGAGAGACAGGAAGCTTTTGGAGTAGCAGAAGGTCCCTGTTCATAGGGGGTGTTTAAAGACAAACAGCAGGAGGCTTTGTAGGAACCTGAGCATGAAAGTGGGATGGAGAGAAAGCCGATCCTCGGGAATGTCTGTAGACTGTAGACGTTCATGCTCTGTGTTTGTGTCCTTGTTAGGTGAACGCAGACCTGAGATCTCCCGTGCTGCACAGCTGCCTTACTTCACATAAAAGCCTCTGCTTGTCCTCTCTGATTCTCCTTACTGCTCCTCTCCACCTCCCTGTCCTGTGCATAGAAAAGTCCAGCCGTGAACACGGAGGTGGCTCAGGCTGAAGGTCAAAGGGTAACAAACGAGTGATGGCAACAATTAACGCAATTCCGTTTATAATCTAGAATCTTGGAAGGTTGTCTGGTCACCCCAGTATATGCCTTTTTGTACCAGCCTCCTGCGTACGGCACGATTGAGGCAGCACAGCTCGCGAAATGCTGCTGGTCAGGGGGCTGCTGTAATTTCCATGGAAATTCCCCTTAATCGACTCTGTCCTCATTAGCAAGCCTTTCAGCCGGGCTATATAATGAAGACCCTGGTAATTAAATCTGCCCTCTTCGGCTGTTCAGAACGGCGATCACATTTGTATTATCATTTCCGACATGATTCTGGGCTCTTTATCTGTTATCATCCAGCAGTGGGTATCAGGGGAATCTGCCATTGCGGAGAAGGCGTTCCCTCCCCTTGTAGGATGAGTGTGTTTCCATCATGGCACCTTGTCCTTAAGGACAGCAGCTGAACTGCAGCCACGTTTCTCCAGTGTCTCTGTACAGCTCTGGACGCCTCTTATCCCAAGTGGTTGCATCAGTCCGGTGTTAGCTTGTCTCAGAGACAGCACTAGAACGTTATGAACTTGATTGCTTGTTCAGTGCAGTGGTGAAGGAGAGTCAGGTGACTCGTGTCTGTGATTAGTTCTGACTACACTCTACCTCTCTCCCTGATGATTTGATAGTGATTTATTTCGTGTACATTCTTGAGTATGGGTTTATACCCAGATTCCTCTCCTCTGTTTGTTCTTTCTGTTGTCTCATCTGCCAAAACGGCTTCTCGACTTTCACGCCGTTCAGCTTGTGCTATCGCTTAATTACAGCTCTGCCTCGGCCGCGTTCTGCGCCCTCCCTGAACATACTGCTCGCAGAGGGCAGCTTCTAGCTCTGTTCCCGGAAGCTTCCTACTGTACAACTCCTTTATAGGCCTTCTACAGGCCTGCCCTGCCCCTCTCAGAGGTTATCTTCATGAAAAAAGGAGTAATAATATTATGGAACCCCATGATTTTTACCCCACCTGTACAAAGGAGGGGCATGTTTGATTTAAGGCATAACTCAGGCAATTTCATTACCCAGAATGCCATTTCCTCTATGAGCCCACACTCTCATGTAGCCCTGACGTCCACCTGATGTTCATCTGGTGTTTTAAGTTTCGTCCCAATTCTTTTGTTAAGTGGATCTCCACTCCCAAACTAGGCCCCCTTACCCCCAGGGCACATGCAGTGTGCCCTCTGATTAAAGCAGGAAGTGTTTGCTGAGGAGTGATGCCGTCTCCATGCTGTGCAAACCAGCCATACCCTGCTGCAGCTTCTTGGTGCCACAAAGATGTCACCATGTTGCTCTGTGTTGGTTTCTTCAGCTGTGTTTCAAAGTTGCGTTGGTAAGAATTTTCATCTTATCTCGCTGCCGGAAAGGATTACGATCAAATCCAGGAGGGGCAGTATTTCAGGACGGGTAATTTAGCTGTTTGGTTACGGCGAGGAGGAGTCGGTGGTGATGCTGCTTTGTTAGCCTAGCGCCGCTGCTGCCCGAGAACGAGAGGCTAGGGTTGAAGTTCTGCGCCGTCGTCTCTCACGTCGTGAGTCTCTCCCGGTCAAAGCGAGCAGCCAGACATTTGGGAATCAGAAACTCCTGTAGAGAGTGAGGCAGTGGAAAATTAATTGGAATGGCTTGGTTTTTAAGGCATGGTGTAGTGTAGTTCAAAGGCCGGGGACATCGCCGTAACGAACACGGTGAGCTGTCAGGCTGAAAAGCCTAACGAGGATTTTGCGTATATCTGCAAAGGCCTGCTGTCATGAGGGGATTGGTATTTTTACCTGCCGGATTCTTCATTTTGTTGTAAAATTCTTGTAAAATCATTGGGTTTGAAAGCTGGATCAGTGGCGACATGGTGCTGATGTGACGGGCTGGTTTCGGTGCCTCCTCCCAGGTACGGGGTCCCCCTGCTTCCAGAAAAGCTTGTGACATCATCCTGGCAGGGACATGTATTATAATCAGACAGGAGGAAGGGGGAGCTTGTGGGAGTTTTACTTACACAAAAATGTTTTGCGGGCAGAAGGAAAAAATCGATTGGTTCAGAGAGAGAACCAATCAGATTGTAGAGGAGGTGTGTCCAAGCAACTGGAAGAGGCAGGACCAAGACATCTGATTTGTTGGTCCTGTTTGTAAAACCTGAAGTAGCTCATAGTGTCCCTCCTGACATGGATTACGTGTTTGCCCTCCTTCAGAAGGTCTCAGCCCCTCCCTGGGTTAGAGCAGAATGAGCAGTCTGCCTGTCATTAGTGCTCATGAGTTGCTCTGAAACGTCGGTAGCCAAGTGCCCAGGCTGGTCCTCTGACCTCTGACCTCCCTTCCCTTAAGCCTCCCCCTGTGCTTCCAGGTGCCTCATCAGCCTCTCAAACGTGAGGCAGGCAGCAGCTGAAATTTTCTCTATTGTTTGCCACCAAATGGTCTCCCACGTGCCCCGGTGAGGAGCAGGGGAGGCGTGGGAGGAAGGCGGAGGGGCTCCTCTCGGCACCTCAGGGAGGGCGGAGCGAGTCGGGTTTGGGAAAACGTCGCAGGTATTCATATTTCACGGCAAACAAACAATGGCAGCCCTTGTCATCGAGTCGTGCCGCATTGATGCGATTATTGATATGCTAGGTGGCCTTCTGCTGGCAGCCAAGCGGCGATCGGGCTTCCCTCTCCCCGAGAGATGACTGCCGGTGCGCTACGCTGTGCCGGGCCAGTGGCTCTCCAGTGCGAGCGTGACGGCGTTTCTCAGCAACCTGGACTCGCACGCTACGGGTGCTGCCCTCGCCTCGGCCATAACGAGGTCTGTGCACTGGCAGAATTCTCCGAAAATATATAAGCGATCTTTATTGTTATTATTAAAATACGGCAGCACACAAAGAGCTCCTTGCGGAAGCCCTTTAATCCCATCCTGTCCGAGCACAGGGCACTTAATTCACACAATTAATTCAAACATTTATCAGAAAATTGAATGTCTGTGCTTAGCTGTCATCGGTGGGGGAGGGGCAGAAGGAGAAGGTAGGGGGGGGTGGTGGATGCCCACGAAGCAAACATCCGCAGACTATGGTGGTGACAAAGTGTGCAGTCATGCACTCGCTATTGACACACAAGTGTGTAGTAATTCAGATGGAGAGTGACCCTCACTGGATCCATCTCCAGGGTGCGGCTGTCACCCTCGATCTGCCTGCCCCCCCCCCCCCACCTCGTCTCGTCATCCACGTTCGGTGAGGACGGCGCTCCCGTGAGCACCTGCCTGAGCGAAATCCGGGCCTCGGATTTCTCTCATCACCCGGCGGTGTGAAATCGTGCCTTTGCGCTTTGTCAGCAATGTCCCGACGAATGTGATATCCGTCCGCTGAGGCTCTAATGCGACTTTGGCGGGAACGCTTCCTTTTGTTATTGCGATGAGCTGGCATTTCGCCCGTGCCGTACTCCAACTTCACCTCCTGGGACTGGCTCCAGATCAGCGTGACCGTAACTCAATAAATACGGATTGGCGACGTCTGTATGCGTTGCGACCCAAGCCACTCCTGTGTTGAAAGGTAGCACCACCTAGCTGTCATGAAGAGAACTGCTACCATTTGATCTTCGCCTGTTTATGTTATGTTATGTTTGTTATGTTATTTTATGTAATAAATAAGTCATTGTAATACTTCTAAATTTCACTAGTCTGCATGGAATTTAGCAGCCCTATGGGTATTACAGACAGAAATCTGATGTTTTTCTGTATGTTTCATTGATTGTTTATTTATTGTTCATCCAGCAGTCACAATATGCATCAAACAAAACCACAAAGGAATATATGTAACAATATATACAATAAAATAATACGAGTACATAATAAAAAACATAAATAAGAAATACATAATGAAAAATGTAATAACCACTGGGCAGGTTGAAGCACTCCTGTGTGATGCCTACCCTTTCACAAGTCTATCATCAAGTCAATATTATGAAACACAACTGATAGACATACTTACCCAGAAGATGATAAATAAAGAATAAAAACAAATCTGCGATGCAAAATAAAATCCATGTAATCCTTCCATTTTCACCTCATATTTTACAGTTTCATTTAATGCATTACTCTGCAGCTTTATATAATTACAAACTATCCCTTTTAAAGTATATTTTAATAGATGTACATAGTTTCAGATTTTCTTTAAGGCTATTTCTGTTTGCTCCCCTCGATGCTTTTTTGTCAGTAGTTTCTTGTCAGGTACTGAGAAAGGATGGGTGTAAACATGTTTTTACTGCGGTGTCCATTTTTCTGTGCATTATAGTAATACTGTGTTTTTTTTAAAGGTTTGTCTGGGAATTTTAGGCAGAAGACAGTGACGGAATTATGTTTCCAGAACGACCGATCAAGTCTGATGGATTTCAGTAACCCAGACACCTCCGTGGATAGAGGTATGGATGATGGAAATCAAATGAGATCATAAAGGTTTGTGTTGTGTTTGAGCCTGAAATGGTTCATACTACACAAACTACACAATTTTACACTACACTACACCACACTATACTATGCCGTACTGTACTTCACTGTACTGTACTATACTATACCATGCTAAATTACTACACACTACACTATAACATACTACACTGTACTACACTACATTACACTATACTTTGCCATGCTATACTATTATGCAATACACTATACTATACTACACTGCACTGCACTATACTATACTGGATTCAAGCCATTTACAGAGTACCACGGCTGTTTGTTATGCAGATTATCAGATTAGTTTGTACTATAGTGTGGAAGAGAGAAAGGAAACACACGTGTGAGGTAAGCAGGAGAGAGAGAAAGTAGAGAGGAAAGAGGGCAGAGGAAGGGAGAAAGAAGTATGAGTGTGAAAAGGGGGGATAACGAGAAGACAGAGGGGACAGAGTGGAGAGGAAAAGCGCCTCTATGCTGGTCTCAGACCATGTCTGTGACTCATCCAGTCAAAAGGATGCATAGAGCCAAAGTCACAGAGAGTCACAGACTCTCCAGGGAGTCGGTGGCTGACTGTGGATTGAGCCAGACTCCCACATGGTTCTGATGTGGCTGCACTTTGGCAGCTCGGTAAGGCTTACACGATAAACCAGTTAACATTGACATTAAAGAGCCCTTTCTGTACATCATTCTGTCAGAGAGTGTGCCCACCATAGCTTCCTGGAGGGGGAGCTGTTGAGACGGGGCCAAAAGATTTGAAGGTGCATGACATAGTGAAGTGAAAAGTACCACTGATGAGGCTTGTAAAAATTAAACCAATTTGGGGGTGATATAGGGACATATGAACAGGAGCGATCCAATATTAAAATATGTAAAAAGAATATAGGTACAAACAAACTGAAAGATGAAGGGAACTGGGACAGAGGAGAGGCAATCGGCCGTCTTCTGCCACAGGCTCCCGTAGTCTGGGCAGTGGTGTTTAAGTGACTGCCCTACCTGACATCGATCCCTCACAGCACCAAGTCGTCCCTGGGAACGCATCGATCGCGAGCTGTGGGTGTGTCGGGGGTCCGTCAGTGCCCCACCATGCGGGGGGGAGGTCCAGCTGATCAGCACCGAGAGCAGCAGACAGGAGCTGTGGAGCCTGCTTTATGTGATGGGGGAGGAGGGGCGATCGGTCCGAATGCACCAGTGAGAGGGCAGATTGACAGCAGCCATTGCCTGCCCTGCTAAACTCCGCCGTGCTCCACATGGCAAGGAGAACCAGCAGAGGAGCCACAGGTTATGGAGACGCAAGCGGGCTGCGGGTGCGGGTGCGGGGGACAATCGGCTACATTTACTGTCATTAAGTGCAATTTAGACACATTGGAATATGGGCCTTTGATGGATGTAAACAGGTGAACAGTGAGGAGGTGAGGAAAAGCTGTTTGCTGTGTGACAGGCCCTGTGAGTGCTGTATGTGACTCTGCAGAGTCTGATTGGCCCTATGAGTGCTGTATGTGACTCTGCAGAGTCTGATTGGCCCTGTGAGTGCTGTATGTGACTCTGCAGAGTCTGATTGGCCCTGTGAGCGCTGTATGTGACTCTGCAGAGTCTGATTGGCCCTGTGAGCGCTGTATGTGACTCTGCAGAGTCTGATTGGCCCTATGAGTGCTGTATGTGACTCCGCAGAGTCTGATTGGCCCTGTGAGTGTTGTGTGTGACTGCAGAGTCTGATTGGCCCTGTGAGTGCTGTATGTGACTCTGCAGAGTCTGATTGGCCCTGTGAGTGCTGTCTGTGAGTCTGCAGAGTCTGACGGGCTCTGTGTGCGCTGTTCGTGGATCTGCCTGCATGTTTTTGTGCATTCGTGTTTCCTTGGGGGCAAATATGTGTCTCTTTGCAATTGGCGACTCCAGTTGGCCACACCCCCTGAGAAAGGTTGTTGGCAATGTGGGTGGGGTGGGATGGAAGAATTCCAGAGAGTCTTGGAGGAGTGTCACAAACCGGTACGGCAGGAGAGAGCGAGCGAGCGAGCGAGAGAGGCTGGCTCAGGTGTGCGTGTGGCTGGCCTGGGAGGAGCTCGGTGAAGGGAGGCAGCCAGTGGCAGAGTCACGCCTGTGCATGTGCCTAATGTGTGTGAAGCCGCCACAGATAGATTCACGTTGAGCGAACCATGAAGTCGGATGGAGAGGAGGGCCACTCCAGTGAGTACGGGGATGACTTTTAATATCTGTGGCTATTTACTCATGTCAGAGATACCAAGGGGGGCATGTCAGTACGTCTCTGAGAGTGTTTGGGGCCACCTGTTAGCTTCAGTCCTGTTAATACAGGAATTCAGAGTAGAGGCTGAAAAACACGCAGACACACACAGGTACAAAGTGTGTCCCTGACAGGCTCCTGGGACCGGCTGTTTCAGCCTCCAAGGCAGAATTGCTGCTGCTCTCGTGTTTCAGGGCTGTGAAAGAATGAACGAGTGTAGCTGGTTAGAGAGAATGCAGAGGAGATGCGGTGACTAGCTGCTTATCGCCGAGGTGAGACACCGACGGCAGCAAAAGTGACATAAAACAATGAAGATTCAAGATTCCTTTATTTACACTCTGAGGACTGTGCATAAATTGAAGGTGTAGAAGGTATATGGTGTGCATGTTTAAGTAGTAGTGTACCTTACTATAATCATAAACCAATAGATAGCTTTACTGGCCCACTGAGCTGCCAATCAATCACAGCCTACGGCTGATTGGTTCATCTCACTGATAGTTTCAAGAAGCGCGTGATTCAGTCATGTTGCCCACACCTTTGGTTCTTGCCCGGCATGTTACCTGTTGAGAGCTGTTGGCCCGACTTCTGGAGGGCTGATCCGCCTCAACAGCCCGTTCTGTTCCTTAGTGCCCGTGCTGTAGGTTTGTGCTTCTTGCTGTGCTATTCTTGGGTAATAAATATGCTTGAATTTGTGAGGGTCCTCTAGGCGGCCAGCCCAGAGAAACCAGGCTTGGGTGATTGTGGTTTCACTTTGCGTACCGCTATTAACCTGAGAATGAGCGGTCACATCGTCGTTATTCCTGGCCTGACATTTCTGACTGCCTCTGCAACACAAGCAAAAAATAAAAAATAATAAATAAGATTGAATCACCAGGCAAAACAACCAGAGAGGTTTCTGCCTGGAGGATTTTGTTCCAGCTCTGTGAGCAGTCAGGTTGCTGGACCTCGGGGGTCACGTGGATCGTTTTAAACTGTAAGCAGATTTGCTTTCAGAAATCAAATCCTATTTTGCCATTAAATATTTTAGTCGTTAAGCTTGGGCCGGGCTAAAAACGCACAGTATCGATCGGGGGGAGTCTTGGTGTAATTTCTTGTCTGGATAAAGCTGCGTTTTATCGTTAAATTTTATCCCGCTATTATACATCAGAACTATCTCCTCAAAAGTTTGTAGTTTTATGTTCAAATTACTTTGAACATTGTCAGAGACTTGCTGTGCCTTGACGGCGGAAACGGCAGCAGAGACCACAGGGGAGAATCCCACAATGCCAGACAATATCTGGATTCATACCATGGCAAACATCTCAGTCTGTCTCTGAGCTGGCCTGGCCGTCGGCACACGTCACTGATCTGTATATTCAGAGTGATTATTTTTGGGATGAAGGGAGTCTACATTTCCGCCCTCATGCCTCAGCGCGACAGGGTGATATGGAGGGAGATCCACTTCAGAGGGCGGACAGGATGATGACTCAGCGCTCAAGAGTTCACAGCCCTAGAGAGGATGGCATGGTGGACGTGTCATTATACACACAGTACTTTACAAATGGATACCAACAGATTTTTGTTGGGGGGGGGGAATGATATACTGCAAGCCTGTTATTGAGATTCCTTCAGCAGATTCACATTTTGTCGTTTTGGAGAGCTTGAGGGTAACGTTTCTTATTGGCATCCAAACGGCGGTACAATATTTACTCGCTGTATTTCAACTGCCTGCTCCCTTTGGCAGCAAGCGTCCGGTGTATCAGTGCATGTTTCTTGAGCGTTAAAAATACATTTTCCTGTTCGGTGGAAGCATGCCTGCACGTGTGACAGAATGGGAGTGACGCTGATTTATGGCTGCAGCTATTCCTTGTTTATTGTGTTTGGAATTACGTAATGTGTGATGTGTGTCTGTGCTTCACTGTGTTTGGTACAATGTCCTAAGTATCTCTAGTTCACTGCATTTGCTATTACCTACTGTCAGTAGTTTGCAGTGTGTGGTATTACATGCTGTGAGTAGTTTGCAGTGTGTGGTATTACGTACTGTGCTTGTAGCTGACAGTGTTTGGTATTATAAATTGTGTATGTAGTTCATAGTGTTTGGTATTACGTGCCGCGTCTATAGTTGGCAGTGTTTGGTATTACATACTGTGTGTCCATTTTCAGCTGTGCTCTCTCTTTAACCACCAGACTGCAGAGGTTAAAGAGAATGTAAAAGTGTCAGTTGCTTTTCCTGTTTGTCCCTGTAGTGTTCTGGCTCATCTCCTCCTTTGCTGTTGCTGTTGAACTCCAGTGGCTTCCCACACGCTCCCATCCTTCTAGGTCACCTGCATAGAGCTGTACACCCAGCAAAGCCTCATTCCCGAGAAAAAGGTTCCGTGCCACTTCTGGGGTTCAGCAGGTTTGATGTGTTTCCCGTAAGGTGTCTGTCATCTGTGTGTCACATACAGCTTTTCCACCCTGGCGAGTACATCGGTGGGGCTGTGGTGCCCATCAGAGCTGTGGAGGATGCTCATGATTCCCTACAGTCACTGACCCAGTTGTCAGACCACAGCTGAGCTGGCCACCGAGTAATTGAGCTGAAGAATTACTTCACTCTGCCGCGGATAATTGTTTTTGTGTAACATGATGGGCCATCTTAAGCGATTTGTTCTGATCACAGTTTAGGGTACTATATCAAGGAAGGACAACAGTCTGCGTACACATCCATATTTGTATTAAATCTATATTATAAATAAGTAATGCTTGAAG